TGTATTTTGCTCAAAGGTTCAAAGAAACACGAAAACCCAAGGTTTCTATGGCATTGATTTGTGAGGGTCAATCAAGAAAATTTTAAACTTGCAGTAATAGTTCAAACGAGTCAAACATTGACTGTATATGAATCAGATAAAACATCATTATCTCATCTTAGGCTACAAATATTAAGTAATATGTCAAATTTTCAATGATATCTAGCCGACGTTCCGTCATTCTTGACTTATCGGTGAATCATTAATCTAAAGCAAATTCCAGGAACTCAATAAAATGGTTTACATCATTTTCATATTAGCTTTTATCTTTGGCGAGAGTTCTTGAAAATGGATTAGCTAATTCCTGTCCATTAAGCGTGAAGTTATTTAAAGTGACGTGAACGGGAAGATATTGATATTTTGATACCAATGAAACATGAATCGTTTATAATCGATCTGCAGTAATGTCTGAAAGTCTGTTTGTGTGGCTTTAGAAACGGATAAAGGAATCCAAACTTGCATCCAAAAATGCGAAACTATTGGTACACACATACATGCAACTACATGTATATGTAACGTGTTTCTGTCTGAAGTGGAAATATCAACTCGAGTCTTTCTTTTTCACAAGGAAAAAAGGGAGAAAAGAAATTACTCAAAATCTGCAGTAACTCCATCTCTTAAGCCTCTCATAATCAATAAGTAATATGTAATTGCATGGTGACTGATTTTAATAGATGATATTTCATAGACCAAAGATTTGATAGACTTTATCCACAGACAGCCGTATCTATTAGCTCAGATTTAAAACCTATCAATACGTAATAAGTTAGTAACGTTATAAATATTAAGTCAATAGCCAAAATTATCAGGGAAAGTCTTAATAGAAACCTTAATTGAATCTAGACTAACTTACAGACTGTTTGACGACAATGTACACAATTAAAAGAATGATTCATTTACAGGAATTCAATTCCAGACAAATCAGAAAGACATTTACTTTTTTCCCCTTTCATTTATCAACTCTTAATTTGCTTTTGATTACATCTTAATTAATCCCTCTTTTTTACGTTTTCCAAAGTGGTCGTTTGTAGCGTTATTAAATATAGAATCTCTCAGGAGCACTTTAATGTAGTGTCACAGAAAGTGTTTATTATACAAATCTTCGGAGCACATATGTGAAATATCGAAGAATGTGCTTTATTATATTTTTATTATGTTTTGGAGGTTTTAATGAGACCACCGTGTTTTTGTGTTTGTTTTGATATAGTGTTTTATTAGACCTTAGGCATACATACTATTATAATGATTAGCAGTATTGGTGCAGCTTAGCTCTGAAGTATCGTGCACAATTTCGTGGTAGGAACAACACAGTGCAGTTGGAGCCAAGAGTCATCTCACCTCAAGAATAAACATTTAATCAACCCACTACCCTGTTTAGATTTATCTACTATAGTCGTGAATGATGTTTATCGGTCAGACACCACCCTAGTCTTATCACCCTCTCTAATATAATTATATAGTTATACAATACAAATACATAATATCGTTTTTATCAACGTATTGATTCTTCTATTCATGTCTGAGCTCTGTTTTCAAATGAATGTTTCCATACCCAGTCTATTAAATTGTATGGTGTAATTTTGATTCCTTGTTTGTCAAGAGGTCAGGCTCTTCAAATGATTCTTCTACTTTGATTGTAGGTACATCTTGTCAAATATTACTGTTAACACCCTTTTGTTTCTTAGATTCTGCGCTTATCCGTACACATATTTTTTTGTCATCATTATACATGTTGACATCTTCACCAGGAACATTACTTAATAGATATATTGCCAGTATTTCGTATTTTTTGTGTTTGTGAATTTCATCCTGTCAGTACAACACATTGTTGACAAATCATTGAGTTTACAACACAATTCCGTGTATTTTAGTCGTTATTTATCCAATTTTTTTTACGATTGTTAGTCTTTTGTTCTCATTTCATTTTGATAATTATTATGAATGGAATTGATACGTTTCTATAGACAACTGTTTGTTTACGTGGAAACATAATTCATTCTCGTTACACTTATAATGGTGAGTTACGTAGACGTCATTGTTCTACAGAATGATACCTAAATTGTCATATTTACCATTACTACCCACAAAGGCACTTTGATATATCATATTACAAAACATTTCAACACAATATTAAGTTAATGCTTTCTCTTGAAGTTGGCATTATGAATGCAGTTAAATCATTCTGTACATGACTGCTTGTATTATGATGACATTAGAACAAAATAATAAATGGGCCTTTCGCATTTTGTCTAATAACACATTACAGTAATAAATAATGTTATTAATATATTTAAAAAAAACAAAAAAAACAGAATTATCATTTCGAATAGATTCGGCATTATGATCATGCACATGACTTTACAATCATTTGTCAAAAGCAAGGTTGACATGTAACTTATCTCTTGTTATTGGTTATACCAGCACAATCATTTTAGTTAACAAACCATGTAATTAGTGCCGATTTTATATTGTCTATCAAAATTTGAATTATTTTAAAAGAGAAATTGATTTTTGCCAAGCATTTGAGATGTATGTGAGTGAAACGTAGCGCCTGGATTTTATTGTACTAATGTTGATTTAAAATTTGGCTATTGGCAATTCGTCATAGGTTTCTGATGTTTTGCTGTATATGCAAGACAATTATTTTTCTTTGTATCATCCGGTAAAAAATGTCACTTACTTGACTGTTCATATCTTTATCGTTTACACCAACTTAAAGATAAATTTCGTCTATAAGTAACCCGTTTTTCGCTGTGAATTTACCTTACAATCGAAAATCTCTTTATCGCATTGACTAATGTTAAGAAATAATACTGATGGTGATGGATGACGAATATCTATCACAATTCAGTTTTAATTGATGTGAGATCACGTAATAGCAGTAGAAAGGGTATAAAAGTCTCCTAAAGCGTAGAATTCTTGACATTCAGTCACAAACACCGACACAATTGAATATATAAAGCAAAAATGATCAAACGCTAAATCAATTTTAACGATATTCTACTTTTGGGCGAAGGATTGGGCTGTGCCCCATTCTTCACTTTTACCTTCTTCAAAATCTGTCCACGATCTAAGTAATACTTGAGGTCAGTATGGATAAATATATATATATAAAACGTTGTAAATTATACAAATTTATAAAAGTTATATTAATTTTAGCACCTAAAAGAACCTACTTAAGAACAAATTTTACACATTCCTTTAACTTAGTATCACCTCTTTACCAAGTGGCAATTAAACTTTTGATAAAGGTATCTCTTTCCTCCCTCTAGTTTTATTTCAATTATCAATAATATCCTTTGAGAATGATCAATTTCACGATCTGTGAATAATACCTCCTGAAGGTCAGAAAATTCATTTAGAACAGAGTAATGACCAATATCATCATAGCGTTTCGCCTTTATTAAAGGTTGAAGCAGTTCTTGTTGTGGTGGCATTTAATGCATATTGAACTAAACCCACACTGTTTCCTCTTTTCACATTTTGTTTCAAAGGCTTTTCATTTCCGTCACAGTCTGTATTAACCTGCAGAAATGGAAAATATACTATTTACTGACGTTTAACGTATTTTTTCAGAATGTTTTGTCAAATCACATTATTATCAACATTCACTCGAATTAAGGATTACAAATTGAAATGGCCTATAAACTTTCTAATCTTTTATTCGATCTGATATATGAAATACTCTAGGGAACAGTTATTGCCGATTACCTCATTACTATGCGATAAACATCTCTATTAGCTTTTTATGGAAAGCTTTTTTTCACATGAAATGTGCGTGTCACCCTACAAAAAAATATAGAGTACCTAGGGAAGCTCTTCCTGCAACCGCCTTTCATGTCGCATTTGTCTTGTTAAAAGCTTTGATAATGACGCTAATGTATCTGGGGGTTGCATGCGAATTATTACCAATCTCTATAAACAGATGAGTGTGAATTGAATCATTAATTTGTAAAACTTCCACATCCATTTGTTGTTTTGATAAACGAGCTTACATGTTTGTTATTTAATTATCTACACACAAATCAAATGAAAAGTATTAAAACAATGAAACAGTATTTGGTCATTAATCATCATAGATTGGAAGATTTGATTTCACTGTATATTGGAAACTCATAAAATACCATCATTGGATACCTAGTTCGACAAGGTGTGATCGTTTCCGTTGAGGACGCATTACGTCTCGTTCCTCTAACGTCATAATACAAAGTTTCTTTCTAATGTGGATTATTTTCACAGAGATCTTCGACGAGACAAAATATGTCCTTAAGTTTCAACTCGGGATCAAAGCAATCTAAATGACACCATAATGCATCGTCCTTATCTGCAGTCATAGATATGCCAATGTTACATACATATTATATAGTTATTGAATGACAGGCCTACTTTTCTTATTGACTTTAAATGACGCAGTCATGTAAGAAGGAAAAAAAATCTAGGCTTCTTCCCACGTCGTAACAAAACTATATCGAATTGAATAGACTTCCTCTACCGTTTTAGCAATACCCAGAGATTTAATAAATGTAACAGTCGAATGGTAGACTTTATGTATAATATCCGTTCTATTGTTAGAAATAAAGTGATTTTAGAGACACAATTAAACAATGGATTCCATCAGTGGAAAAGATTGAGTTAGTAGACTTTGTTCAAAGAGAATCTTAAAGTGAGTGTTCTACTTAACGAAGTTTCAACCTATCTGAGCGAAATTAGTGCTATTTAGTGATATACACTAACACTGATATCCAGCACAGCATGCTGCAGCAAGAAGCAGCATTGTTCGCTAAATATGTCTGCTGCTCTTAAGTAGAAAAATCCATATACAAGAAAGGATCTCCAGGAAAAGGCCAAGCTAACATGTCTTCTTTTTCTTCTTTAACATAAAATATTAATGTAATCGTCTTTTAAAAAAATCAACCAATTTCACAGCTATAATTACTATGAGAATATTCACATATTCAGAAATGGTTAACACTTCGACTTTTTTTCAACATTTTAAACAGTCAAGATTCGAGTATGATGATTATCATATAGGTGTCAATAGGGCCTCGTATGGAAATCCGCCTGTAAGTAAACTGATATACTCTCTAGTTCAATGATTTTCGCTTTCAGTAGCTTTCGCCTTCAGAAAAGCTATTTAACATTCAATGGTGCGACGCTGAAAGCTACAGGGGGTTACTTGAACAGTGATAGAACGTTGATTTGTTGCTTTCATGTTTTTATTTGTGTATCGACTGTTTGACGATTTCGCATGATTTGATAGCACTTGTGTTTTTTTTCAATGATTTACCTTTTATACACACTGATTCTCCTCAATTTACTTTCCTTTTCAAACTAATAGATCAAACACTTAGACATTCACTCAGGCAGCATCCTATATTGAGAGAGCTATAATGATTTGCAATAGAATTTGGAAACTACGTGTAACGACAATTATGTCTTTTGTCTAGTGGGGAATACCACGTGTTAAAATCGGCAATACGGATATTTGAAATTAAGTGTTTTGTAGCCAATGATTCGATCTGTTAAAATGCCTGTGCCAGAATTAACATTAAGAATTGCCTGTGCTAGAATTAACATTAAGAATTAGTTTATTCTCTCTCTCTTTCTCACTTTCGTGTTATTATTTTGCTGTTATGTTGTCTTTCTCTTTATATTCTATATGTAATTACCATCAACGCCGTCTTGTAAAATTTTGAAATTGTTCAGGAAAGGGCTTCATCTAAGTTTATGTAACTCGTGCCTCATCCTTTTGTTTAATACTTGATAACGTATCAAATAATTTAGTTCCTACCCTGATTTCAATCCTCTACACTTATATTTTTTAGTTAAGCAAGCTTCTTTCTTTTATTTAGCTGCTTCCTCGCGTTGTTTTGTTTTAGTCAATACATTATAATTTTTTTCCAAGGTTGATAATGCATAATTGAAATTTAATTTCCATTAGTCAAAAGTTCTTCTAAACCTTTGTACAAAACATTCTAAAAGACCATTATCTTGCCTATGACTTCGTGATTTTTTTCTTATTAAAAGGATCATCTAACCTTAACGCCTATGCTTCGTTGATGTACAATAACGTCTATGCTTGATAGAGATAGATAGACCTCTCCCTGTCCCCTAACCCCGGAGCTCAATAAATTAATTCTAAAATTCATCAAATTCCTAGACTCGACCCATTGTAATATTGATGGTTTAGATAAACACTCCTAGGTTTTATTAAGGACAGGTTCTAATGTTTCCTCAAAGGCGAAAAGAGTCAAGTCTCATTAAACCATTGTTGTTCAATAGTGGTAATGGCTTGTGACTGCAGCGTTTGAAGTTTTCTCAGATCTCACTGTGGAATGTTTTATAGGAAAAAGACTCCCCATGGGACCATACAATACTTCTAGAACATTTAGAGAGAAAATAACAGTCTCTTCCGGGAATCCTTCTCTAAATGTTATCTTTCTGATGAGGTCTAAATATATCCTCCCTTTGTAGAAGTGATGCTCATTTTAAAAAAAAGATTAGGTTAGTTGAACTTCTGGATGATTTCAAGGTTTTTAGGTTCGATTAGATGAAATGTTGATTCAAAATCTGTCGAAAAATTTATATGGCGGCAATTGATATATATATATATATTACTCTTTACAGTCCTATTGTTTTACCAGCAATGTAACATTTGTAATCAGTTACAAGGTTTGTGGCATTTTCATGTATAGAAATAAATCTCATCAGTTCTCTTTTTTTTTCTTTTTCATTGCAAATTTCTACATTATATTTTATCATTTGTTCATTTCAGATGTCCCTAACCTGTAGAATAGAATTGGCTGTAACAATAGCAGTGGTTATTGTCAGTTGTGTTTGTGGAATGAAAATTGATTTTACCAGATTATCACATCATAAACGCTCATATTATATTCCACAGAAACGGGGCTCAGAATGTTCAGGTAAGCAGCAAAAAGGCCGGTTTATACTCCACTAAGCACCACTAAGAGAAAGAGCGAAGCGAAGATAAAGAAGCTAAGCGAAGCTTTGATTTGCTACGCATCGCTTAGCTTCGCTATGTCAAGACAAATTTGTCAACGCCAGTTTGTTTCGTCTGTCCAAAGCGAAGCTAAGAAGAAGGACCACATCATACTCCTTCGCCTAGCTTGAAAATGAACTTGCGAAGGTGACACTTCGCTTCATAGCTGAGCTTTGAAGCTTGCTACGCTCCAGCGAAGAAAAAACCTGCGCTTCGCTGCTTCCCTTAGTGGAGTATAAACCGGCTTCAAGAGATCTCTATTTTACTCCAAGAGCCTAAATTCATGCAGACTGACAATTGATGAAGCTGTATGATCAATAGTAGTCCAAGTCCAAGTTTCAGGCAAAAATGGTCAGATATACATGAAATGTATGAGTATATTAGATACGCTTAACAACTAATTATATGTGGAATCGTCACCGAAGCCAAAAATACTCGCAATGAAATCAATATTCTTTTTGTTTTATCTCGCGATTTTTGTCCGTGGAAAGACAAATTGTCACATATACCAAAAGATAATCAATGGACAGCTTGTGAATCGTCAAAAGATGTTAAGTACCAGTAGACTGGCCGTTTTTAATAGTCTTATTAAGCTAGAACAAGTAGCGAGATATTTGCTATCCGGTGTACCTGGCACACTCTGTCGGTAATTGCCAAACTTCTCGTCACGTTCAAGTGTCATTCTCACGAAGAACGAAGCTAATTCAGCACGTTTGTTTTGTCGATCATTTCCCGCTTTTATGTAAGGCAGATTTGATTCAAGACCTGCAATTTGTTCTGAATAATACATACACCCATAGACACGTATATCTCATGTTACTTAATGGAATTCCATTCGAAAATTTCCAAATGAACGAATTCAATAACAAGTGCGTTTATAAAGGCCAGACAAAACGTTGTACTTTACTTGCAAACCTTCAAGAGATAAAAACTATTTTAAAACCTCAGATTTGGGAAGTAGAGTCGTAAAATCTCTTCAAAACAGGTCTAAAAGTGGTTAATGTAACGTAATTTTATGTGCCTTAATGTGCTTGCACGTCCGAAGATAAAATTTGATATTTTTGACAGAGAAATCTATAATTAGACTAGAGGGTGGTGGACACGTGAAATAACCAGAAAGGAATTTTGTAGTCTCTTTTAACTAGTATGGGCGTTATATTTGATTTTTAAGTTGCTTTCCCAAAGATGAGGACATTCCACTGTTTCTAAATCAATTCGTAAATAATCCACTATAATTGCAATGCTATAAGTTATCTTAAATTGGATTCCGATATCATTTATCAATATCAAAAACTTAATATCCACCTTACGCAAAGGGATTTAATGTTTGGCCATGCAAATCTTAAGATCAAAATGTCAGTAGATACACTTTTTTTCTTCATCGGAAAATCCTATAGATCATCTTTCAAAACGATGAAGTAAATAAATGGCTATCATTAGGAGTTTGACAGTGAGGAGCTACTTTCAAATTACTTTTACCACATCTAGCTTTAAACGCCAACTGTTTTTATTTTGTCATTTGTCAGAAAGAATTATTTCAAGGTTTAATGCAGATACTGATTTCTGTTGCGTCAAAGGGTGATCGAACATATTTAAGCTATATAAAGTATGAAAAGTGATGTAGCAGCGCTTCCGGTCGAAATAAAGCGGGGGAATGAGATGATGAACTTTGGATATTTGTCACACCTTGAAGGAATGAAGATCTTTTAAATTCACCCGGCTAAAACTAGGACCTTCGAACGGTCATTAAAAACTTTCTGATACGAGCGGTAGCCCTAAAGTCCAAACGCCCACACAGGGAATTTCACGGCAGCTTTAAGGTTTTGAAAAAGCTTCTATAAACTATTTAAAAATGTACCCACTCAGTCTGGAGATCCACGAATCAAACTCATAATAAATACATAATAAATCTATTTGCATTTCAAGTTTTCTCAAAATTTGATTAAAACTGTATTCTCCACTGTAGACAATTTCCAAATAAAGCTAAGCTACATCTTTTACATAAAATTTAGATTCCGAGAATCACGTTACCAAGTGGAATTCTGATTCGAACAGTATCGTTCCTCAAATTGTTATCTAAACTGCATATTTTTTGATATTTCTGCAAAATTGGTAAAAATTGATATTAAATCGGTTTAAATAAAATCATGTTTAAAATTCTATTGGGGGCTCGTAGATCGAAAATATGATGAGTTAGAGATATTTCGTTTTTTTATTAGCCTACATACAATGTTTAACTTAGAGGTTTTTGCATTCTTTATTTTCAATTTCATCGAAATTGTTATAAACTCTCTTTTTTAAATTCACTTTTATTTTGAAATTAACTAAAAGAATTGCTTTTAGATTCATATTTATATAATGTAATTTAATTTATCTTTTATTTTAAAACGCATTTCAATTTAATTTTACCCCAGTATATTTAGGAGAGAAGTTCACACAAATGTTTGCATTTGCATTGTACACCAGTGAATACAGCCAATCATATATCCCGACGAACCGACTGTCGATTGGCTTTTTTTTTATAAACAATATTTCTTTATTGTGGATTTTAGTGGTACAATGTACAAAATATATATATGCGATACAGAAAAAAGCATAGTGCTTATTCGAATCTGCCGATTGGCTTTATTTGCTAATGTGAACGAACACAATACAACCTAATAGCATAATTGAAAAACTGCTATTGCGGTCAAAGTAAAATAATAGCTTGACATAGCTTGCTTTGTATCTTTGATTGTAGAGGTTTACAGGAACTAAATAATTAATGTTCGTCGGATCTTTACTTGTTTAGAAAGAGACTACCACTCTTGACATTGAAATCGTCTTCATTCAGAAAATTAACACAGACATGCTGAAGTTGCTTTGAATTTAGTTTCTGGCATGTATCCTGCCCACATTTATTCTGTCTGAATGTCGTGTAATGATCAACTTGCGTCAGCAATTTTTTTTCTCCATTAATTTACTTATTATCAAACTACGAACTGGTGGACTACATTCTGGGTTCATAGGGAACTCAAACTGTTGATTAACTTATTAAGCTAAAACTGAATAATTCAAGACCATTGTATTCTTAAAGGATTTGCCAAAATATTTGGGTACCAGTAAGACAGATTTTCAGTAAAGCAAGGGAGATAAAAAAGGAAAATCTAGTCTCTTCGAGATCACTAATTCAAATGGCTTCTGATTTCATAACAAGATCTGGTGTACGGATTCTCTCGAAGGTTTGTCAAGTTGACAAACTAAAAAGGACAAATCTCTTAATTCAAACTTTCTTGCAATTTTTGTTGTGGTCCGAATCCGTTGGATCTAATCTAAAGCATGATACATGTAGTTTTCCAGAGGGATCATGGCGACTTTGGACTTAAAGAAAGACACTATGATGGTTGATCTATATACGCTTATTGTCGGTTAATCATCCACAAGCGCGGATGTTTTTGTAAAGATACAAAATATCAAATGCTATAATTATAAACATGCGTTCATTGACCACACCTTTCTTTCTTGGCGCCAAATAATCAAGGACTAAACAATTCAAGTGTACTTCTTTAATCAAATCAATGAAAAAACTTTACTTAAGAAATTTTTGTAATTGGGATTAATTTCCTCTCATCAAATTATAGAATTCTTGGGTAAAATTGATTACGGTTACAATAGCCTCGATGGAGATGAGTTGCCGACCTTCCAATGATTCTATTAGATTATGGCTTGTTATTGCTGACTAATTGTACTGTATATTTGTGTGGATATGATAATCCAACAACAATATCAAAACGCGCCCCCTTGTCTTATTTCGATCGTAATCACAACAAAAAATCATAATATACGTGTAAGAAATTATTTTTTTTGTAAAGTTATACGTCAGCGAGGATGAGCTAGCTTTTATTACATTTACATTTTATTACTGTTCTTTTTCTTTTCTGTACACTAACTTTGCAAGTTCTGTTAACGTTGTAAATCCATTCTTTGTTATCATTAAAGTCATGATTAGTGAGTTTGTAACAGAATTTGCTTCCAGTGTTATGGTCTCATTTTCAAAATATTTTCACCTTTAAATTCAGTACTAGACTATGATATAAATAAATCAAAATGTGCTGTGTATATCGGCGTACACTGATTATATAGTTGATACTCAAAGAAACTCGAATGTCTGTGGTATAAATTATGCATTTGTAAATGAACATTGTATTTGAAGGTATTTCTTACAAGAATGCAACTTTTTATCCTGTCGTATTCATTCTTTATTTTCAGGTAACCCTTGTCCCGTAGATAAACCATTTTTATGTAAAACATCATCTACATGTATTGCTCTGAAATATGTTTGTGATAACACGTTTGATTGTGAAGATGGTTTTGACGAAGAAAAAGCTTTGTGCACTGCAGGTACGTCTTTTTGTATTTAGAAGAACTGAGTTCTGGGCCCTTTCAACAATACGAGAACAACTGGGTTGCACTCATGCGACATGGTCATCAAAAATGGCCAATTCTCTTCTAAGAGACCACCTCCTTTAAGAGACCGTTTTGGATTATTTCCTTGAGTGGTCTCTTAATACAGTTTCTACCGTAGTACCTAATGTCTTCTATTATGCTGAATAATGTGAAATTTCCGCATAGTCAATTAAAATTATTGATCAGTAGGAATTAAATATTTCGGTACGAAACATTAAAAACCTAAATACTTAAACATGCCATAAATATTTTATTTGAAAGTACTTTTTCATTACTGCTTTCACATACAAATTCAGAAAATCGTTTGCATGCAACTTTTTTTCAAAAAATGATATCACTAAGGAGCAGACATTAATGTATAAAATTTCTAAAAGGCATTAATTCGCAAGCATGTTTTAAACAGCTAATATCTTTCACAGTTTTGTTTATGCTGACATAACGTCTCTGTGATTCACTAATAGTTACTTTAGTTACTTTCTAAATGATTGTCTAGTCTCCTAATGTCGGTTGTCCTCACGACGATTCTATTTGGGATCCGACACCTCTCGCTGTGTGACAATGTTTTTTCATGTTGATTTACTTGAGACAGAATTTTACGATGTACGAAGACTGGTTTTGTATTTACGCACATTGTATGGAAATGACAATAGCTGAATTGTTCTTTATTTCCAGACTATTGTATCACCTTTCCGTAACTAAGATTCAACCACGGTTTCTTTTGTAACGTGTTCCTGAACTAAATTCTCTTACTGAATATAAAAATATAATGGTAAATATGTACGGAATGAAACTGCCAGATACTTTGTCCCACCAATTTGATTATTCATATCTTTTCTTTTCAGTATCCAGACCACCGATTGAACAATTATTCAATTTTCTAACAGCAGAACAGGATTGGATTATACCCAAACTATTTGGTGGAGTTGAACCTGAGTTTGCTGCCCATGGATTAGCTGGTATGTATACTGATACTGGGTTGTAATGTGTTTCTGCTAGAGCTGGCACGATATATTAGTGAATTGATGTATCGCGATATGATATGCCATTGGGGTACTATACCTCTCATTAAAAAAGGGGAGACTTTTATAAGTTGGTGAACTTTTTTTCACTCACTTGACAGAAAATGTAAGAAACTATTAATAAGACAGCGGGCGTAAACCACATTACCGAAAATCACAGTTATAAAGTTATAAATTAATCTATATTGAAATTTTGAAGATAAAATGTTTATTTTTATCCCATTACACCATATCTCTTTACGTAACGTATCGTGACTCTTGTATAGCGGTACGATACCCAACACTAGTTTTTGAATATCAAAATCACTTTATTAGTTTTATATCAGAAAATGCTGATTTGGTCTGATGAGAGAGCTCGAGAGACAGTTAAGTGACCCTTGACACTCTCTTCAAGTAATTCTCTTATTTGGTCTCATTTAGTTAATAAGTGTTTAGACTGAAGTTAAAAATGTTTTAGTTATTAAAGTAAAAAACGTGTATTTATCGTGGTTCAGTAAGCACGACATGACATTCCTGTATATTGACAGATTCCTTCCTAATCGTTTATGCATCATCTCCGCCAGTAATAGTCAAGAATATTTTGCATAATTTATATGACACGGCCCTTAACTTTGATTAACAGACTATATAACAAAATATAACCCTTAGAGGTTTGAGCTTAGTTTCAATAATCTTTATCTATTCGCTTTTAATCGTGTTACATACAAGGTGAACTTCGCATTGTCTTTCAAAATGTTATTATCTTCAGACCTTCAGTGGCGGCGCTAGCTTCCTGAGACTGGAGCTGTAAACAGTAGACAAACTGACTTGAACATCACTGTCGAAGCTGAATTCAAAATGCAGCAATTCAGTGGGTGAGTCATAAACCGCGAAACTGAGAATTGTAAAGTACAGTTGAGTTTAACTGGTTCCCGAACGACTTAGCCTCGATCACAAAGTCGCACATTATTGACAACTCGTGATGTACAAGACTACTGTTTAGACGAGTAAGAAATGCAATAGACCGGAAAGACCAATACGCCCCCTATTGCCGAACGAGATAAAGCTGGTTTTTTGCGTTTCCACTTATAGTGCTTTTCAAAATTGAATTGATTTGGCTCATTTTTACACATATTTTGGGGTACAAACGTGTACAAATCATATTTTGGGATTTGTTGAAAATAAAGTGGGAATACAATTGGGGGTTCAGACCATTCCTTCCCCCTAACTGGCGCCGCCATCGCAAACCTTAAAAGAAAAGAAAAGACAGTAAAGGAAAGTGATGGCAAGTTATTGTCACTGTTCTTACAATTACTGGTAATATAAATTCGCCTAATATGACGTCCTTTGAAAGGGTAAATGGAATACGAAATTTATCGACCATTGTAATAGCTATTGTTGCATGGTTTAAAGCAAATCATTGGAGATTTTCATTTTCCAAAGTGAGGAGTGCTCTAAAAATCAGACTTAATGTTTAAATAGAATAATCCCATTTTACACATAGTAGGTTTAATGAAATAATATTCTTCGTATAATTGGAAAGTCAAATCCTGGTAACCCCTGAACCAATTAATAGTGTTGCAATTTATGACCCATTTCTCATACTTACGAAATATTATCACACCAAATATGGCTACTAAAATTAATAGAGCAAAGGTATCTTGCACCAGTTTTTCATGTCAACGTTACAAAGTTGCGATAATCTATAGATAAGCTTAGGATTATATAAGATCAAAATAAAATTAATCTTTTGGTCGTACCGTTGAGATGAAAGTCAAAGATGATGAATTTTTAGCATGAGATTTTTTTTATGAATATGGTGTATTGGGATCAGTTTTCTTATTAATTTTCTCAGTACCTCGACTCTCAAGAGAGAGAAATTAATATTTCCACACCAACTCTCCTACTAATCGTATTACTTGTCTCTCGCTAACACGGTTCCAGTCTGTAGGCCTTCTGTTGCAAGGTGGATACGATAGAATACCGTTGTTTTTAATGTCTAGAATTAGTGATGACAAAGAAGTTGTTCAAGGACTAATTAATATTATATAAGACAAAGTCCTCGATAATTTTTTCATAGTAACTAACTCCCACACCCAGAATTATTTTGCTTTATTCAAATCAATGACTATGTTTTTCTCGTCTTTGACTTCTATCCTGTTATACAAATGTTGAAATAAAAGATAAGAGTCCATTTTTCATATGAAACCAAACTTCTGATTCTACTTCAGGTGACCACTTGTGTGGCATTTATACACAATCGACCAGCATGCACAGAAAAACAAATTAACGTATACTTATAGCTCTCAATCAAATAGCTGATCAGAATTAGATAATCTGCTCATGGTTCGGTGTTTTTTCTACTTTCAGTTGCCAGCGATATTGATGATTTGAGCATGACCCTCGGACTTTCCCCACAAAATGTGAAGAATCTACATAAAGCATTCCAAGCGGCTATGGAAGGTGATGAGCGTCCCCTGTTGGCTATGAACATGCCTGAAAGGTCCTGGCATGAAGTACAGTACATGCTTCAACAGCTACTAGACAGCGGTTTTAAGCTCTGAAGCCATGTGTTTCGTGCCGATCATTAAAACGATGGTCACTAACCATTAATCCCAGTAGAAAACCTGCTTTCATCTAAATGTAAACTCCACTTCAAACTTCATCATTGTTTCTGGTTTTTTTTTTCAACGATTAGTTCTGAACAAATACGCCCACTTCAACGCTACTACGAGGTACAACTATACTAATGACGTTTTGTTTTATGTGTACTTAAGGGACACTTGGCCTCAGTGCCACGATTGTTATGACGTCATGTGATGGATGTTAAGTAGACAATATTTAAGCCCTTTCAGATGCTGCTGTTGTCATTGTTACTAATTAAAATCGTTTTAATAGCTCTATTATATTGTTCCATATTTTATTATAACTCTGTATTTTCTTTCCTCTCAAATATAAGCTATCTACTCAACCCTCAATGTAGTCGAAATATGGATTTTTTCAAAATTGCCCATCATATGATTTTAAAGTTCGTATAGCTCACGACCATTATCAAGTACTATGTTGATAGAGAAGCTATTCATTGGTGGTTCTCCATTGGAATGTTCAAGTGTTCTATTGATATGGTTTCCTTGGTGAACAGACAAGCATTTTTTTTTCTCCTGAGAATGCTTCCTTTAAATATTTTTACAACTACTATGTGAAAAATAAAATGTTTATTGACGTATTTTGAGAGAATTGACCAATTTTCACATCAGATGATCACATAATTAACCATGTCTGCGAATTGGGTGATAATTTATTTTAGATACATCATCAAAATGTTACAGCTAGGCTGCAGGATTTTTTATCTGGGTTTTTTTTAGAGATAGTTCGTTAGTCTTTTTTTTGTACTGAAAGAAATCTCTGTAAATTGCATTTAAAACTATTTTGTTGATGTTAAAAGAAAAATTCTATGAATGTCTCTCGAAATCATTAAGATTGGACATTGGATAGGAGATGTTTGGATCAAAGTTTTTAAACGAGGTCGAGATAATTCAGGGAAAATTCATTTCAAAAGCCAAAAGAGGAACAAAAAGTTAATAAACCGGAAATTTCTTGGGTTAAGGTCCAAACAGATTTAAAACAATTTATATTGGTATTTTCATCATATTCTGAGAGGATGGGCAAAATATTTTTAGCGAAATGATGAAAGCTGACAGCTTCGGATTAAAGAGAAAAGATCTTCAATAAAATATGGAAGCTTATACCTGAAAAAATTACACTATCAGATTCCATGAAATTATGATTTTGTCTTCTAGCAAGCTATTCCTGTCAGGTTAACAAATTTTCTAATCAAATTATTTGAAAATCAATTTTTATCAGAGGTCGATCTATTTTTCTCTTTTTATTGATATATTTTTTGTGCATGTAGATGATATAGTGTTTCATAAACAGAGTTCAAACTGAATAAAGTATATTTTCTTTGTAAATTGGTAAAATTTGAATTAGTAATACTATCCAGGGGACGGCCTTTCAAGGCATCCGAGTCAACGTTGATGTGATAATGGTTATTTTTTCGTTTCTGTTAAAAATGTTTTCAGCCTCGTAGGACTTTGTGACTGTATATTCATCATGGAAAATAATAAACAAAACTTAGTTTCTTAAGTGGAAGTCTTAATCCTTTTGATTCTTAAACATATCCAAGGGGCAGATGTATCTGATCGAATGCTTTTAAACCATTTGTTTTCTTGCAAGGCCACAGCGACATGGATGCAAAATGAGGAAAATGCTTCACTAATGTAACGACGACCAAAAGTTATAAGGAGAGTCTTTTTTTCAATCATGTATTTTAAATCCATGTGCCTCATGGATTGAGCTACTGCCTTTCTACTGCTGACCAAGCTTAAATCGATATTGGCTACAGTATAAAGCAATCGTTAATATTCGAAAGCTATATTCTTAAAATAAATTATGCAACAGAATATGTTTTTTTATGCTCAAATGTTGGATAGTACTGATTTAAAAACAATGGTTGCCCATTGCGATTTCCGCCATTTTAAAAATGTCTGCTACTCAGTGGCGGAGTCCGACTTCTGAAACTGCATTTTCAAGAGCCCCCGACCCCCATATATTCATTAATTTACAGTTACAGCAACAACTGATTTGTTTTGTTTGGTAGTAATCTCAGTACACATCCAACGAATTGCATCCTTCGTAGTACATCGTCATCTTTAACAAACTATCTTAGCAAATATTTCATGTAATCTCTAACGTAGAGTTTCCGAGAATTGTCCTAAATAAGGTTGTCGCTGAGTCATATGGGCCATATCTCTTGCTCGTGACTCCATCGATTTCAATCGAATGTATGAGTATACATCTGACGATAGCTTGTCACAAACACCAATGAGAGAACAACAGATAAGGCTACTCTGGCCTTTTGGATTATATAATGTGCAGATGAAATCTTGGCGTATCTGTAAAATGATCACTGCTTTCATTCCTGTCTTATTCGATTCTGTCTGGCGCCTCTTATGAATAATCTTCATATTTCATTTATATGAAGTTCCCAGGAGTATTTTGTTTTGTCGGCTTATTGCCAGTCCTTTATACCACTCTAAGTGAGATGACGTTTCTTTGTTTGTTTTAACATTTGATTCCCGAAGTTACATTTATGCACGTAATAATTCAAAATCATATTTTATGGATGCATAAGCCTATATATAAGTAATAAGAAATTCACAGGTTTAATCAAAAAAAATTTTTTGTTCTACCGATCTGATTGGTCAGATTTAAATGCCACCAATCTCATTTCAACGCCCCCAAAATGAAGTGTAGTGGGCTTAGTTTGATACGGGTTAATGAGACCATGCCAAAACCCTATTAAATAACGAACGCATTTTTATGGTATACTACTCCTTAGTTTTATTACACACTACGTTTCAACAATCTTCATTGTCATCTTCAGGTGAAGTGAGGAAATATGGTACAAGAAGGTATATATATACACAAAAAATATAACGATAGCAACAATTAATTAGGGATTATTAGTAGTGGCAGTTAACAATAGGATGACAATAAGCAATGATAGAGCGACAATAAAATTAAGGAGTAGTATACCATAAAAATGTGTTGCGTTATTTAATGAGATCTCTACTCATAAATGTCGCTAAAGGATTATGTCATAACCCGTATTCGTGATACGATGACCGTAATGGTCCACAGACGTGTTTTGTTGTATAAAATTAAGTAGACATATGAATTCCAGCATTAGATGACTTATATAGATATAATCGATAAACGTAAACCCGAATGGTTATAAAAAGAATAGGTAAACAAAGCATATAGAATAGAACCGATCGGTTTCCAAATCGCGGGATTTATAGAACTCCCATAAAAATAAGAACAGGTTCTTGTTCAATTGCTTCTCTGTCACACCTCAGTACGTGTGACGGAGACCTTACTCGTCTTGTATGGGTTAAGACTACATGTCTATAATAAATAAGTGATATTTATGGAATAGAAGAATATTGGTTTGATTTACGATTTATTGTTGTAATTTTCCAGACATTCCTTAATCATAAACTGATCTTCAGGTTCATTTGATAAACATGGCTTAATTTGAGGGTACTAATGGGAAAGAAAAATGGCGGAATATTTCGTCTTTGATATTCATTAGGGACGTTTAATGTCGAATCATTTTTTAATTACGTATTATTTAACACAATGGTATTCGCGGGTGATTTAATGACCTATTCACTTTTTATCTGACTCGTCTCCAGGGTTTTATATATTTGAACATTAAGAATCCATTCCTCCGTGATTTAGAATAATATAGGGCTGTATGCGAGAACTCATGTCTGAAATGATTCTAAGAAACGTATTTTTTCTATGAATTTTTTTAAAAACAAAATGGTCTTTCAAACGGCTGATGCTACAGCAGTCATTGCATTCTTTCTTAAAAACTATAATGTTATGTTAACACGAATCCCATTTTATTCAGATGGGTTCTAATTGAATGGTCAATGCCCTTGTTGCACTTGTTGCAATCTGCATGGCGTTGCAGAAAAAGTATGACGTAATCACGTGGCTGCCGTTTCCAGCGACGGGATAATGTGACGCGATTAATTGGTGCATTCCGGTGATAAACTAGTCTAATATACCTCGGAATGCACCTATTAATCGCGTCACATTATCCTGTCGCTGTAAAGGACAGCCACGTGATTGGTAAAAACAGGTCATGTAAAGGTTAACAGAATGAAAGGTCAAGAAGGACAGCTTTTAGTGGTTACGTACGAAGCTAATAAAACATTCAAAACGAAACTAATAAACTACGAACGAAAGTAAGGTCAAGTTTGAATAAGACTGGCATTTTAAGAATGGGCCTATCCCACGAATACATGGAATGCAATCGCAAGACCTAAACCTAGATTCTGATTGCATTCAAGTTTATTCAGTTTGTTTGACAAGGCTATTGTTCACACACAGTACGCTCGACTGCGATTGAGCTTTGTCATCATTGTAAGTAGACGCCATGCTGGGAAAGTAAAGAGACTAACACAAACATACATGTATTATTTAAGTTTTACAGTATAAAACTCAGTATCAGTATTTTAAATTTAAAGCCCCACTTACTAATTCACTATAACGAATACGTTATGAAAAGATTTTCGAGTATATGAATAGATATTATCAAAAACTCTTAAGACATAAATAAATACCAACCAACCTTTGAAGAGCATGTAAAGATATCAAGCAATTTTTATACATGGTTAGCTATCAATAAATATATCAGTACATGGATGTATATCATCTCTCTATGTGGACGTATATTGTTGGCACCCCTGTCCGTCCGTCCGCCGATCCGTCTTTCCGTCAACATTTGCTTGTAAACGCTCTAAAAACTAGATTTTTTGATGGAATCAAATGAAATTTGGTATGTGTATACATATTCATAAAACGAAGATCAAGTTCGACCGTTAGAAGCAGAGTTATTGCCCTTGCCCCAAAATCTTGAATATGCTATTACTCTCTTAGCTTTCAACCGATTTTGATGAAACTTGAAATTAATGTTTCGTTTTTACCATCCGCATGCCGTGGTGGGCGTATATGGCAGTGGTCCACCATTTTTTGGAGTACATTGTTAAATATCAATCAAATATTGCAAAACTTGAACCAAAACCACCAAAATGTGGATTAAATAAAGAGATATTAACCAGTTTTTCGAGTTCATGAATAAATATCAACCAGATTTTGGAAAATGAAATTGAAACTTTACTGCACCATGTGGGCTAATGATGACGGGCAACGCCATGCAGGGTGCAGTGAGGGAAATTATCAACAAGCCTTTGCCACACAGTGTCAGATATCAATTACATCTTCCAGTAACGAGTCAGAAATCAATGCCATCTTGACATACAGTACAAGTCACACCTTGCCCTATAGTGTATCATATATCAATGACAAATTGCCATATTACGTATCATTTATCAATGACAGATTGCCATATTACGTATCATATATCAATAACTCCTTGCCATACGGCGTCAGATATGAATCACACCTTTCCATACAGTGTCAGATAATATCAATCTTATCTTGCGATTAAGTGTCAGATATCAATCCTCGAGTAACTAACCATGCATAAAATCATGTTACTCGGGTAATTTTTAAAGTAAGAGTGTGACAACCAAAGTAGTGTAGGATATTTATCACAATTCTCACCGCCAGCTATCAACGACAAATCATAATTCATAATAAAAATACATTGAACTATTTTATAGCGCTTTTTGTGATAAAATGTGATATGTTCATTAAATTTGTTTATATATTTTGTAATGAAATATTGAAATCGTTATAGACATGGTTGTTCCACGTCTTTCTCGTCAACTCCAACGCATTTTTTTTATTACGCTTGGGATTGAACATCACACAAATGATACAATCCTTTGGTTATAGAGCAAAACACATTAGATATGTGTCAAGATTTATAGGTTCAGTTATATTTATGGTGTGAACCAAGGACAAGTTATAGCGCCCACTCTACATAGACATCAACACTATTCTATTCAAAGAAAAATAGTTCCATAACAAGTGAGAGACAGACATCCGGACACAGTTCAATAATTAAAACATCTCTTAGAAAAGATTAGCGAAATGTGGCAATCTTTTAGAGCGTCTTTAGGTGGCATTTCATTTTTGAAAATGAAGAAGATGACCAATTGTATATTTTATGACCTTTTGTCATTTTTTTTTGTCTATAGTGTAACCATTATGCCATATTTTCATCTCTCGAATCTTTGTAGGAGATCATCGAGCATTTGATCTTTCGATAAAACTCAGATCTCATGGGGTATAGTATAGGTCATCTCTCAATCTAATGCCATATTCCAAAATAAGTCAGTCCTTGCGATTATTTCAATACAGGTCACTTCTCAATTACGCTTATTACATACATGTACTTGTCAGTACTTAATAACGATTATCTATTACTAGCCAGTTAGTGCTCTATTATGATTATTTCACACTAGTAAATCATAAATTACAATTATTACATATTAATCAATCATCAATTACGAGGGTTACATACTAGGCAGTTATCAAGTAACGATTATTACATACTAGTCAGTCCTCGATTACGATTATTACATACTAGACAGTCATCGATTACGATTATTACATACTAGTCAGTCATCAATTACAATTATTACATACTAGTCAGTCCTCGATTACGATTATTACATACTAGACAGTCATCGATTACGATTATTACTTACTAGTCTTGAATAGCTTTATTAATGCTTCAGCATTTCTGCTTTAGAAACATATAGACATATACATAGATACATATAATATATATACACATTATATACAAAACGAATACGAATACGTTTTAAATAATACAATTATAAATTAACATTAAATAATTTTTGCAGGTAACACAACTTACAGTATAGAAAATGATTCTCTCTGTTTTCACGTTACTAGTCAGTCATCAATTAAGGATTATTACATACAAGTCAGTCATTAATTAACGATTTTTACATACGAGTCAGTCATTAATTAGCGATTGTTACGTGCTAGTCAGTTGTTCTCAATTATGAATATCAAATACAATGCCATTCTCAACATGTCTGTACAGGTAGATTTGAAACGTAGAAGTCAGATATTATTAATGTTTTAAAGCGACGTTATGTTATTGATTCAATAAATTTACTCCATTTTGTTGAATTTTGTAAACAAATTATCTTATAATTTTAGATTCAGCATACAGTTCTCGTTGGATTCAGATTACCTACCTATAGTTCCACGCGTTCTAAAGTTCCATAAATATGTGGAAGTCGCCTGCAAGCCATAGCAAGTGAATCCTTGCTGAAGATGTGACTCCAGTCTGCTGATCAGGTTTGTTAACTTTTTATTCCATTATACTCACGAATAAAGGGCAATAACCTAGTTGTTAGTAACAAAGTTGACGACCACTTTTATATGTCAGGTCACTACAATATGAGCATCCATTTGATAATCCACATCAAAATTGAGATTTTCGTGGTCTGGTAGTACGTTATTGCAATGCCATTTAGGTGTTCCAAAGAAAACAAATTACTAAATTAGGACTGTAGTATTGTACTCCATGCTCTTGGGTGATTCAAGCCTTTGATGTACATACACAAAACTGTTGGTGATGATATGTACATATACAAAACTGTTTGTGATGATATGTACATATACAAAACTGTTGGTGATGATATGTACATATACAAAACTGTTGGTGATGATATGTACATATACAAAACTGTTTGTGATGATATGTACATAATATACAAAATTGATGCTGATGATATGTACATGTACATTTACAAAGCTGTTGGTGATGAAATGTACATGTACATGTACAAAATTGTTGATGATGATATGTACATGAACAATTACAAAACTGTTTTGTATATATATATATATATATATATATATATATAGAGTTAAATATCACACGATTATTGTTGGGTCTCCAAATAATTGGGTCTATGACCCAACACTTAGTAAAAGCCCAAATATTCAGTCTTCGACCCAATATTTCGAGTCTCAATCATGTCAGTGACCCAACATGTCAGTAGTTATAAAAGTATATATATATATATATATATATATATATATATATAAAAAGGGAATCAACAGTGTAAAACAGGTTTAATCAAATTGTCATGAACAATACAATACCAAAATACATTTTACAAATCACAAAAAAATTCATTTTTAAGATTTCATTCAAACCCACATTAATAATTATACGATCAAATGCTAAATACATCTCTTTTCATTGTATTAAGTACTACAAGTCTTTGGTGAGAAACGTATTTGTAATTATTGCAACAAGTCATATAATACACTTTTATCTGGATCAGATAGATTATGTTCATCTCTTAACAACCTAGAGGTCTATATTTTAGTTTGTAAAATACACTTAGAAATGATATATCTTTAAGTGGGATCGTCATTATGTTATGTTAGTTTAGTTGCCACCATATTACAAAGAAATATGAATTGGGTTCAATTCGATCAAAATGATAAAGTTTTCTAACTTTTCTCTCTTGGAATTATTCTTTTTTAATTTTACTAGACAAACAATGAAAATTATTGGCTTGAAGTCGCCTCAGAATTGTCTTGAATTCGTCGATGTTTACTCAGAAAATAATCAAATTTTAGACACTTTGGCCCTCACATCAAAAAAATTATCCCTTCGTGATATATATACACGACTTGTGTATGTTTGTTTCATTAAATGAAAACAAGGCAGGCACTATCGGACTATGAACCATAGTATACATTATATATAATGATAACAGTTTTTTTTACAAAATATATAGTGCAATAGGGCACCATGGCGATTTGTCGAATTGCATACTTATACAAATTAATAATCGTTGAACACTTTGAAATACTTAATGGCACTAAAGTTTTCAAAAAATACAAAATTACCCCAAAAACAATTGAGCAAATTATTGCCATTACTAAAATATATATTTATAAAAAATAAACAATTTCATTCTATTAAAACATCATATTATAACTGTCATTCTATAATATATCTTTATAAAAAAATAAACAATTTCATTTCATTAAAACATCATATTACAACTGTATTATACCGCCATTTTGCAATTAGTTGCACAAACATTTAGTTATAAAAACATCTGCTCATTATTAACACTATAGATAAAATCCTTAATTCACTTAAAAAATTGTGTTCAATTGATAAAAAAAACTTATACGTCTAAAAAAATAAACAATTTCATTTCATTAAAACATCATATTACAACTGTATTATACCGCCATTTTGCAATTAGTTGCACAAACATTTAGTTATAAAAATATCTGCTCATTATTAACACTATAGATAAAATCCTTAATTCACTTAAAAAATTGTGTTCAATTGATAAAAAAAACTTATACTACATAATGATTATGTATAATACCTTATCTTTGAATCATGTGTCGTGGAAATCACCATATTCTATATTATTTCACTTGTATATAATTACTTTTTACAATTTGCAATATTCTACTTATAATATAAATTTATTGTTAATATGAGAACACGATGATGAACATAATTTGTATTATTATTATTATTATTTTTTTCCATTGCTTCCCACATGTTGAATGTTAGACAGGACCATGTCCTTGTGTATTGGACCTAATTCTGACCCAAATAAATAAAGAGTTTATTATTATTGTCATCATGTATTAAAGTTCATGATTAAAATTATTATGAATAATGTAAATCAAAATTTCTAAAGTTTTAATAACGAGAACGAACCACCCACCACTCTGTAAGTATATGTGATCATATTTTATCAAACATCCACACTGCCAAAATATTGATTTAAAAAAAAATCCTAATTGTAATTACAATCAGGCGGCCTATTGATTTACATTCTAATACTAATATGACTACATCACACCACATCTGTTTCTATACATAATTATTTTGATGGCATTATCTGCCTTTCTTGCTATCAGTTACACTGTTGCATACTCAAATATACTTTCACTTAAGGCCCGCAATTCATTGTCATATAATTTTTTCTGAATGATGCTTTTTTTCGCATCTTTACCGTTACTTTGTTTCCAATCGTTCAAGCACTGGTAAATCGCTTCTGTTATATTCTTTGGGTAAGCTTCTGAATGACGCATAATAACACCGTTTACAACGCCGAGATCACGGATGAAACGTTGCCAGTTGTGTCCTGGTAACTCATTGGCCAATTTCTGTAACTCAATGTCGCTCACAACTGAAAAAGATTTACAAAAACAGATCACTGCCATAATTATATCGTATATAATAGTGTATATCACTTATTTTAATTCGTTCGTTTTCTTTTGCTCATAAATAACAGTGATTTTAAGGGAATTTGTTCAGTATCACCCAAAAATTCTTGTTGCATTGTTTGAGTTGTTACCAAGGTTGCTCTGGCTGCACAAATTGTCCGATTGAAGCTTAAGTTTCAAAATAGTATTGATAGTTCTACAAATACTTTGCTTTGATGAAACAATAAATATGGGTATATATATCTTAACAATGACAGGTTTTGCCAGCCAAATTGTTGATTAAAATTTCTCGGCGTAGATTGATTGACTTGATTTACAGAAACTTTTTATTTCCATTATGGCAGTCATGCTTGAACCATCTCTTCTTCTTTGATATTAGCATTTACCGAAATGATTGCAAAGACAGTGTTAAAAAGAAAGTACAAACCATCTGGTGGATCTCTGATTGGAATATAAACTGAAGGGCTGCCGTCAACAGTTCTATTCATCACAGTAATAGTTGAACTTGAAGATAGAGACATATTTGAAAACTGCCTAAGGAAAGATGGTTGCTTTGGAAGCACTGACAGATTAGGTTTGATAGATAATAGTGACTGAACATGGAGCAAGGGTTCTGGTGTACTGGAAAACTCAAAGGGCTCTATTTCAAACGATTGTGCTAATCGGATGTTGCAACACGCTGATGGTAATGTGTAGACATGGTCTTCTTGGTTGTTTTCTGTAACAGTTCCTGGGTCGAGAGCACCTGAAATTTGAATTGTACATCATTATCTTAATCACAATCACCACTTTAGCCACTGTAAAATGATATTAATACGTATCACTTGAGCCACAGTAGAAAAAGAGATGAATACATGATGGATACAAAATATCAGTATCCATTGTAAAATAAGATGGAAACACGATATCACTTAGCCATTGTAAATTGAGATGGATACAAGATATCACTTTAATCATTGTAAAATGAGATAGATACATCATCTCGCTTTAGCCTCTGAAACATGAGGTGGATAAAGATATCACTTTAGACATTGTAAATTGAGATGGATACATATCACTTTAGACATTGTAAATTGAGATGGATACAAGATATCACTTTAATCATTGTAAAGTGAGATGGATTCATGATATCACTGTAGCCATTGTAAAGTGAGATGGAAACAAGATATCACTTTAATCATTGTAAAATGAGATGGATACATGAAATCATTTTGCCTCTGAAAAATGAGATGGATACATATCACTTTAGACATTGTAAAGTGAGATGGATACAAAATATCACTTTAGACAAACTAAAAAGAAATAGGACACATGTGCCTTAGTCCGATTAAATAAGATGGATACAAGATATCACTTAAGCCACTACCAAATGAAATGGATACCATGTCACGTGCGACATAGTAAAAAAAGGGAAGGATACATAATATCAAGATATATATGGAATATATATATATGAAGGTTTTTTTACTTACAATAAAATATCATCCCATTTTGTATCATTCCTAATTTAATTGTGGCATATCCATTATGGTGAGCTTCGTAGATTTTCATATACTTTCCTTCAGCAGAAATCTTTTCAATGGCAAAAAATATGTCTTTATCTTTAGTTCCTGTGAATTTCAATGTTGCAAAGTCGTCAAGTTGAGAACACGTGTTTTTTGTGTACAGATCAATGTCCAATTTGGCACTTAATCCTACAACATGCCTGTAATAGTTCTTAAGATCTCTTATCTTGGTTTCTTCTAGATTTTCCACTATAAAATGTTTGATTGGGTGGGTGCGTTTACGAATGCTTATTTGGATTCGGTCTTCAACGATTTCTGCATCAACAGTAGAATTGTCTTTGATATCTTCCTGTTCGATTCGATGGAAGTCCACTAATTCTTTTCCATTAAATTTAAGTTTCAAAATACTTGGGGGCGTTTTAATCTCGTCAGCTATCTTACACTTAAGCGATTGTACCTTGTCCATTTTCATTATGGGGAATTTAAGCAACGCATCACCAAGAGAAACGATCACTGTTATAGCTCTTTTGACACTTGCATACACCATGCAACCTGGTTTGAATTCAGAAAATGTTGATAGGTCGTCACTCATTGGTAGTTTCTTGCCTTGTATGTTTAGTTTTACAGCGCAAGGTAAACAGTGCAGAAGTTTAGAAATATGTTCACAGAGATGTGTTGTTGAAGATTGTTTAGGGACAATTACAGTTTCTACCGATGAGTTGCGAGTGTCGCCTACTCTATATGTAACGCGTATAGGGATGCAATCTGGTGGTTGGAAATGAAGAACGTAATCATAGTATGTTATCGACAGGCTGTCGCTCGAATCGCTACTGGAATCTAAATCTGACTCAAGTAAACAAATGTATTCTTCGTCCCTATATATTCGTTTGCCCGATGTTAACCAGATATGTGAATTCAAAACAGATTCTGAGATGGGGTTGTGAATTCTATTTAAACTTCTAATTGTATCGCGTATTTTCTGCTTTAATTCGAGAATCGAATCAATAGTAAGGCATTCCACTGAAAACAGTTGTTCGTATTTAGGAGCGGTTCTATAAAGGCACTTTACAGTTTCTGTTCGTATCTTGTACATGTTAATATTATCACCAGTTATAACCCCTTGGTCAAACAACGAAGATGTATCTTGCATCCTTTGACCCTTCCAGAAAGGCCAACTTGGCGGGGAAAGATTTAACTTGTCCAAAAGAAACCTTACTCCTGAGTCTTTAGGAAGGTTAATGCATCTGTAGTTGCATGGATTCTCAGGATCTAATTTTAAGAAAACAGTTAAGTTATGTATATAACTAAAATCCAGAATCGCTGCGTATGTTATTGTTCTAATAGTGTATTCAGGAACCGTAAAAAAAAGTAGTTGGTTTTGTAAAACACCTTGCATGGAAGCTAATCGTTGTTCGAGAACACCATAAGGTGCTTCAATGAAAACGTCCTTACACTTCACACTTTTCTCGATCTTCCCTCTCATATCAAAAACGCCCACTTTTCGAATAGTAAAATCTGCCTTTCCTATAAATGTAAATGCCATACAAATTGATTATATAATATTATGATGGTTTAATATTGTCTTCCTAGGTAACAAATAATATGTAATGTGTAACAAAATATGTGTTTTCTCATGATAGGCCAATGAAGACGAGCAACGAGTATATATCTATGATAGTCTACAATAGGAATTCCCATAAACTCCAATGGTTGTAAAATTAACAAAAGATGATTTTCGCATATATTCAAAAAACCATAACTTAAATGACAACCTTGTTCATAGCAAAGCCCGTGGGGTGAGTAATTATTATATCAACTTTCATATCAGAACAGAAGAAAAATTACCCAGCAGTTTGTTAATGAAGTATTTGTTCCAACATAGATCTGTACATTTGGGAGAATCAAAGCCTCCCTTCCTTGAAATCTTAAATTCATCACAGTCACTATCTACAAGACTTAAGCAGCATAATACAGCTTATTAACAGCATAATACAGGTTATCTAACTTGCTATCTCATTCGTGATCAACGAATGTATGAACCTATCATGAAATGTAAAAGATGTGACTTACCACCTGAATTCGAGGAGGTAGATGACATATCAATAACATGTGGAAGGCGTCCGTGGTATGCTACAAAGGAATAAGACAAAGCTTCCATTGAATCAAATTCTGCACCAGCGAACAAACCAAATACTTTTAATTACGTAAACCATGAAAAGTGCAATATTCTTTTGTATAAAAAATATTTATTGACATGACATGATTTGGAAACATGCTTTGGCCTATAGTACACTCTCCTTAATATCAAATGTTTGATATATTATACAAAAACAAATTAAAACCGAACTGACAAATTGAAGTACACATGGCAGCTGGATGTGGACACATGGGTCGTGCATCACGAGAAGTCGATGGCATCATTGCCGATCTCTCCTATATCCTGCGGCACACCAGTGGACTTGGTCCGAGTTAATGTTTACAATAAAGAGCCGTGAATAAAATCTCGCGTGTGCCCGTGCTTCATAAGCTCAATATAAACAAAAATAATTTTCACTCGATTTTGATGAGATTATGCGATAATTTTAAATTTGACGATTCTAAGTGAATTGTTTTTTATTTCGGGGTTATTGCCCTTGATTAGGAAAATAGCGTGTGAGCACAATAGAAAATGCAAATTTCAATCGATTTTATTGAAATTTGGTGAAATAATTTATATCGATGAAATCTTGGTCAAGATTGTTGAATTTTCATTGAACATATTTTTTTATTACCCTTGAATCGAATTGAAATTTGTTATCATTGGAATTGATAAGGTTTTGAGTTAGAAGTTAATTACTCTTGCAATGAACATTTAGTATTGGAAATAAACGTGACGGATTGGTCCTTATGATTCATGCTGCTTTATATGGAATATATAACAAGCTTCTGTAGGGGCATTATGTATACCTTGCCTGGCAAGGTATCTCGTTTAACATTTCATCATTTTCCTTTTATAACTTACTTGTCCCAAAGAAGCCAACACGTTCGTTATTTCCAGAACCATTGAATAATTCATTATCATTTAATTCAGGTGTACTAGTTGTATTAAAACTGTTTGGTATATCAGAATCGTCCTCGCTGGTTATCTTGAAATATTGAAATTTCGGAATATTTCTTGCCATTTCTTAAATCCTGAAATTAAATCTATATAATCTTTATATCTATAGAATATTTTATAGTGCAGGTATATATGTAAAGTTTATCTTCATTGACTCGTCAATAATTCCGATTTACTGTTTGCGTCATATTCACTACAAGTACAAATTCCAGCCTGATTGCAAAGACTTGCGAATACTTGAAGCTGTTTATTGCCTTTGCGTCTTTACCAGAGAGGGGTATCATAGATAGCTGGTATTTTTACCATTGTCAATGGACAGTTAATATTTGCTAGTGCCTCTTTGTAATAGATGTTTGATATTCTATCATTGGTGAACATATAACTAGTGCCTCTTAACCCTGGGGGGCTAATATTTTACCACTGTTTATCACTAATAAGAGGGTTATTGTATAGCTACTGCCACTTAATCATAGAGGGCTAATTGTCTTCTGACTACTCTTTACCACGGAGGGCTAATATTTTACCACTGCCAATCAGTCATAAAGGGTTAATGAAATTCTATTTTGTCACTGCCTGATCAGACATGTTTATTTTTTTCCATCGCCTTTTTATTATACGCCCACATCTCTCTATGTGGACGTATATTGTCGGCACCCCTGTCCGTCCGTCCGTCAACATTTGCTTGTAAACGAGTTTTTGATGGAATCAAATGAAATTCGGTATGTGTATACATATTCATAAAATGAAGATCAAGTTCGAATTAGAACTATTTTCGACCGTTGGAAGCAGATTTATTGCCCTTGCCCCAAAATCTTGAATATGCTACTACTCTCTTAGTTTTCAACCGACTTTGATGAAACTTAAAATGGATGTTATTGGACCTAAATCGAAAGGTTTAAGAAAGATTAGTATACTTCTGATTAAATTTAAGGCTTTTTCAAGATTTAGGCCTCTTACGTCAGTTTTGAGGAGTTATCGCCCTTAAACCTCTGTACAGTAAGTGCTTCTATCAACATCATTTGCTAGTAAACACTCTAAAAACTAGATTTTTTGATGGAATCAAATGAAATTAGGTATGTGTATACATATTCATAAAACGAAGATCAAGTTCGAATGTGAACTATTTTCGACCGTAAGAAGCAGAGGTATTGCCCTTGCCCCAAAATCTTGAATATGCTACTACTCTCTTAGTTTTCAACCGACTTTGATGAAACTTGGACCTAAATCGAAAGGTTTAAGAAAGATTAGTATACTTCTGATTAAATTTAAGGCTTTTTCAAGATTTAGGCCTCTGACGTCAGTTTTGAGGAGTTATCGCCCTTTAACCTCTATACAGTAAGTGCTTCTATCAACATCATTTGTTTGTAAACACTCTAAAAACTAGATTTTTTGATGGAATCAAATGAAATTCGGTATGTGTAGACATATTCATAAAACGAAGATCAAGTTCGAATGTGAGCTGTTTTCGACCGTAAGAAGCAGAGGTATTGCCCTTGCCCCAAAATCTTTAATATTTACCATCCGCATGCCGCGTTAGGCGTATATGGCTGTGGTCCACTATCTTTACCGATAAGGTTAAGATTCTAACAACGCCTTTTAATCATAAGTTGCTAATATTTTAATCACTATTTTGTGTGAATATTTTATTGCTGTTCCTTATTCATCGTAGATAATATTCGACCACTGCCTCTATATCATGGAGGTCTAAAATACGAGCACTGAATTATAGGGAAGGCCACAAATTGTCATGTGTGTATATGAGGTAGTGTAATGTGTAATACATCAGAAGTTGCCGTGTGTGTTTTATAACAACTATTCAATATTATTGTACTGCATTTGAAACCATGTCATTTTGTGTTGGTATAATATGTGGTGCATCAGTTAACTTCTCTCGTACTGACAGTTGGAAATCGCTTGAACTGTTGATCTAAATCTCGTGTATTTTTATATTAGAAAGAATGACACACTTTCGATGTATGCTTCACTGCATAGGCCTAAATGTATTGAAGGTTAAGGCTAAACAGTGTTATTACTTACCTCTAACACCAGTTTAATGGCCTTATCAAACATTCAAATAAACAAATATGAATAAGCTATTGTTTAATGGTCTGATATTCTTCAAAATACATCTAAATCTAACGTACGAAGCTACAATATTTCAATTTATTACCGGGTTATCTAATTCTGGATTGAATACTGGAAATTCTAAAGTACTATTTATAGAATTAGGCTGTGCGCATGCCTATTATTGAAAATCATTATTTCCGGTGGAGGTCAAAGGGACTTGTTGATCTCGAATATGAGAGTCCATACGGAAATAGCGATTTTTGACTGGGAGGCAAATGCAAAATATTTTTGCGAATTGGAGCTTATACCTAAACGGTAGATCAGTAGAAATGTTTACAATCTTTATGTTCTATTATGCTAAAATTGTTCTAAAATTGTAGCATTTGCAAGATTTAGTATTGGTAGCCGTCGAATAATTGTAAAATTTCATTCTTTCGATTTTCATAGTCATGATGTAAAATATATATTATGTATTGGTAAGGCTTTCTGTAAAATTAACGGTACAACGACTTAGTAAAAGTTGAAACATGGGTACAATTTTATATTTCATACAGAAGATGGGGCCAGTTATCACTGACTACAAATTCTGATCTCAGGGGTATTTTGTAACATTCATTTCATATGATAAATTTTTGCTTTTATTTTATGGATAAAATTAAATATCTCATAAAAATATAACTGAAGTATAAAAAAGTGTATATGCGTATTGATCATAAACAATTAAGATGTATATGAAAAAACTAATGCAATGAGTAAAGAATTATGCAAATTGAGATGATCAGGGTAAACACAAGAAAATTATATTGATAAAGGTGAGATCAGTTCTATGCTGCTTAATACATTCAGAATAAGGTTTATTTGTTTGTGCAATCGGATCAACCCGATTTCTGTGCTTGATTTATAGCCAAATTTCCAGTTCAAACGTGTGTTTAGCACGTTGTACTCAAAGTACATTATTTGATCTTTATTGCAGTTCATATGCATCGGAATTAGCACTTTTGTTTAATCGCTTTGAACTTCCATGCCAAATATTTTTATAGATATTAAGTTCAATTCTTGAGATTTCAGAGCATCTTGTAAAACTTTTATCGTTGCCTTTGAACCTTCTCTCTGCTTCCACTTTTGTAAACATTGAAATATTTGCTCGCTAACATTGCCTTTGTGGGATTCAATTTGTTTAGTAATTTCAGCATCTGGTAACAACTGTCTCATAAAAGACTGCCAAACAGTTCCCGGAAGCTCTGATACCAATTTGTCTAGTTCTTTATCACTGACAACTGAAAATATATGTATAAGTATACAATAACAAAATATTTTCACTGTTAAAATAGGTTCTCAATATATCAATTATAGAGCGATATAAAAATAGAAATATTATAACAGAACCTAAAATACATGTTGTTGTTATTCAACGTTTCACGCTGTGCGATCTTCAGACAACATTAGTACAAGTAATGATTCAGGTACACGAAAGTCACGTTCGTGTGCCCACAGCACATGCAATTACAATGCGGGTAATTGGGTATTGATGTCTATGGAAAACTCGAAAGCGTTATAACCTTAAGTCCCCGAGTGCTTTCCCTTCCTATTATTTCCTCTTGATTTCATTACCAATGTACAAATCTGAAACATACCTCCAGGAAGCTCTCCTAAAATTGGTTCTGTGATACTGTGGGACATTAATGAAATATGTTCCAATTTTGGTGTTATGGTGGTGTGTGGCTGAAAGGGACTTTTAACCATTGGAAACCACGCAGGAGATTCTATTGCACTACTTGAATAATTTCCTGTCACAAGCGCACCTGGCGTAGGCATTCTGAGTTTGACCAAGGCATTTGAAAGATTTCCATTGTCACAGGAATCGTCTGAGTTTGAGCTGAATGCTGCTACCTCTTCTGGATAAGCTAGACGTATTCCAGGTATTTCTTTCTGTTTTTCTAGGGAATCAAACTCAGACGAATTGTCAGACTCAACAGAACCGTCCATACCTGCAATACAATACATCAGAATTTCAGAAATTCATTTCAATCCCGTAGAGTCAGGCTAGGGGTGGATTGTATGGAATATTCATAATAAAAAAACGTAGTAAATAGCATTGAAAAATATTCTAAAATGTTTTATTTACTCTTATGTTTTCTACTTGATCAATCTAAAAAAAAGTATCAAAAGGGGGAATAAACATAATATTGTAATAATTGAAATTCTTATAACGGATATTATCAGTTGAAACCTTTTAAATAAATACGAGACTCTACAATTTGGCGTTCATTTCGCTTCAATCCGTACATTAGTATTAGTTTACCTACTAATAAACATATGGAGTTTAAAGGTTTACGTAAACGTTTTAAATATATATCTAGCGGTCTTAGAATCTTAAAAAGATTTTGAATTAAACTTTTTGTTACATTTCTCTTGATTTTGACTTTACTTTTCATCAATTTGTGAACCTTTAAGAGAATTTTCAGAATGATTACCTTTCAAGAGATTGCCGTTGATAATGGTACCATTGATGATGTGAATCTGTCCATCCTCCCTGTAATCAAAGATATTCATAAGCTTCCCCTTCTTATGAATATTTAGACTTTCTGTGGCATATAATTTACAGCCATCTTCTATACCTTGACTGTCTAATGACTTACTATCCACGAACTGCAATGATTTTCCGAAGGTGTGGTAGTTGATATAATATTTAGGCTTCAGCCTAATGGTGTCGGTGTAAAAACATTTTAAAAGCTTCGGCGTTATTTTTTGACTATCGTCTATGATCAGGTGAACTGGATCTTTTCCGTTTTTTCTAATACAAACAGAAATACGCTTTGGAAGGTGTATTGCATGTACCTCAGACCCATTTTTTAGATGTGCCTTTTCTATTTGGTGGTGGTCGTTTGGTTCCTTGTCTTCGAAGATCAGTTTGATGTGTTTTGTTTCGTATTGAGTTAATTCTGAGAGTTTCTGTTTTACACAGAGAACTGGATCAAGTTTCATGACAGACACTTGGTATGTTTTGTCCTCTAACTCAATGTTGATAGTAATAGCTTGACGTATGCTTGCTATAATCATACAGTTTCGCTTCAGCCCTTGAAAGTTGCTAATACGACTCATTTCCGTTACTCGTTTATTGTCAATTGCAATTTTGAGTGCATTCGGTGAACAGTGGAATATGGTTGATATCTTGTATCGAAGTTCCGCCGTTGACATTGATGTGGATATAACTATCTTTTGTAAACCATCGAATTCGGTATGTAAAACGTTGACAGGTAAACAGTTGGACGATTGTACATTGATGACCACATCTACTATTCCTAGAAGACCAGAGGAAATGTTATTGATGTCTGAGGGCGCTGGAGATCCAATATATTCTCTATCTCTGTCGTAAAGACGATTACCGGAAGTGAGCCAGATATGTTCTGGTGATGATAACGAACGAATTTCATCGCTCGAGGGTTCTTTTTTCATTGTATTAAATACTTTGAGCTTTACGTCACCGATGGTATCCGTAGTCAATGAATTAACATAGTAGATTGCGTCCACCGTTGGTGAAGATCTATACAAACACTTCAGAGTGATTGGTCTAATTTCGCGAAATATAAGTTCGTTACCCGAAACAACACCTTGCTCCTTTAGATTCTTGAAACTGTCTAGTTTTTGGTGAAAGCAATATGGACTGTACTTTTCATAGGTTTCTTTGTAGTTAAGTTTCCTGTCTAAGTCGACTGCAAGGGATTGTGGTGTCGCATTGTTTTTTACAGTGACGCATATACGGCCAATGACAAAACCAGATTCCCAGCGTAAGAACAATGTTAAATCGCTAGAATCTTCTCTTATGGCTACCACACACGGATTCCTCTCGCCGCTAATACCATATTGCATTGGAATCAGACAGCTTTCAGGAAAATCATAGAATTGGGCAATCCTGTGAATCGCTAATTGTTCTTGAACATCTAGGTTTATAATCTCGCCATTAGAAAAAGTATTATTTCTCATATCATAGATATTAACTTGGCAGCCACCTAAAAACGTCAAAGACAAATTTAGATACGGGCAACAATAACTTCAGAATTATTCTATTCTATAGTTTTTCGATGCACAGAAAACGGACTGCATGCCCAAGTGATTTAGTTTTTTTATTTTCATGTGTCATATTTTCTCAAAATAAATAAAGATAGTATTCATACTGTGTTCGGAGCTGAGTCGTTTTTTGGAACTGGTGGAAGATTTATGACTGATTGACTGTAAAAAACCTATTTTTCCGGACAATGCCACTGAGCTCTTCTGTACACTATCTGAAAAGAAAATCAACTATCAGAAGCAAACCACCATACACAGCATACTCCACATATCGAGATAGTTCAATGCGACTCTTGGACCTGATGTTCATTAACGATTTCCTGTCCGGGGTGAATGACATTAATGTCACTTCAAAATCAACTCGCTAAGATATCTTCAACGAATCACGTTTCTTTATGATAAACATCATTAACCGTGCTGAATCCCCAACTCCACCAAGTGCATGGTAGAATGCCCAGGATGCCTCCCCATTTCCGCATGGCAGTATTTTCTCCCCATGGTCTTCCATTTCCTCCCCAGATGAGAAGAACTGGTCTACATTTACCGACAAGAATCAGTAATTTAAGTTGAGTGAAATTTATCAATTTTATGATAGTGTTTGGGTAAATATATTTAACCTTGTTGATTCTCACTTAAGTTCATCTGTTCCTCAAAACTTGTGAAAAATGTGGACATTCCTGGTGATGTATTTAAATGATCAATGGAACTGGTACTAATGATACTGGTATCACAATCAGTAGAATTTATGTCCAAATCCATCGCTTCCAAGTTAGGAACGTTTCGTTTGGATTGACTTAGGTTATCCATAAGTTATATATCGGTTGATTACAACACAACTGAATAAGAAAAGATGAAAACATAAATTTTTAGCTACAATCCTGTTTTTGAGAATTTGATTTACTCTTTCCCTACAAATCAACACCAAATTTACAGCTGGGTCGTTTGGAGAAAGGTGTAATGGTGATTGTCACAAGGTTAAGAGAATAAGAGACTACCGAAATGAGAACCTACAATCATATTTTTCCAACATTGATAACAAAGGCTAAATGCTAAATAGGTCATTTTCCGTTGCTTGAAAGCTACTTTGAGTCACGATGTAGAAATCATATTTCAAGATAATGTTCGCTTTTCTTAACTTAACATCCGTGTCATCCATCCTAGGATATTCATTACAAGTTACGTCTGCCATGGCTATATAGTATGGTGTATAAACCTAATTAATATGGCAACTATACTAGTGCTATTTAGACCATAAACTACCCGTGTCCTATATTCTGAACCATGGCGATTAATATTTTACATATACTAATATATTATATAACTTGGTTATATTATGTCTTGAAAATGTTTTTTCTAGTCTTTTTTTTCTTTTTCATACTTGGAAATATCAAATGACGGACATTATTTTATATATTAGTTTGTTAAAAGATTTGAATGACCTACTTAAAAGTCCGGGAGTGACGACCTCGTTTTAAATAACTATGGATTATTTATTTATTTACTTATTAATTTATTATAAGTGATAATTCTCTACCCCGTTATGTTCTAGAAAAGCACAAAGTATAATATCAAACAAGAATAATTCATACCTTATTTGAATAGGCGTTCTTATCAGAGTATCGGCCAACATGAATTTCTTTAAAATTAACATCTATTAATAGCAATTTCTAAGAATTACTGCTTACGTAATAACTATATTATTATCGTAATTGTCACATGTAAATCTGGGGTTAAACGCAAGCGATTTCCATATTGATTTCGAATCAAATTCGTCAAATTGTGATGAAAAACATTGAAAGCACTGATTTCAGAATATTGTTGCAAATACTACTAAGGGAATAGTTAACTGCTTTGGTATTGTAGCTTACCAAGTCTATGCATACAGCGACTGTGACTGTAAACATTGTGCAATCTGCCAGCTAGTTTGATATTATTTGTGTCCAATGTTCCAGTGTTCAATGCTCAAATGGTCAGTTGTTGCGAATTTGATTTCCAATTGGAAATTGGTTCAGGGTTGTATCCGTTTATAATCACTCATCCATGCTTGGTGCTGGAAGAATTACCTCCCTTTAACTTTATAGTTATCTACATAATATGCTGGAAACATGTTGTTAAACTGATTTTTTTCAAAATTCTCACAGATATACTTCAAGATGCCGTTGTCCAATCCTGAAAATATGAAAGTCTGAATAGTATGTCAAAAATGCAATATAAAGGCAACTTTACTATTTCAACCTGTGTTCAATCGCAATCGCAACGGTTTTTTTATGGATCTCATCTAAAGGTACCAGTTTCAGTTCCTGTTCAGTCAGTTTGTCCCGCTGTCCCCGGTACACGTTTTCCTTAAAAGAATCCCTAATGGCATAATCCATTGGATTACAGTTTTTGGATTGAGGCATGAATTGATTGTGAATAAATTCTGGTATAACCTCGTCCAGATATGCTTGGGATAGCTTGGTAGTATCCGATGGGGTTCCGTCTTTTTGGCAGATCGGGGTAGAAAAACCGGTTGCGATTGGTGGTCGAAGAAGATGGAGGGCACACTGAACACATTGAAATTGTAAGTTGGCCTGATATTGCATTTTTTGACATGCTCTTTTGTTCGGGCAGTACTTGTTTAATTTATATTCGATGACTTTCATATCTTCAAGGTTGGACAACGGCACCTTGAAGTCTGTTTGGATGAGATCAGTGTACCAACAGCCGAGATACTACTCGTCGAACTTAGTGACGTTTCGAACACTCGATATATATAAGGGCGCTTATTCTCGAAACGATCTAAGCACTAGGGTGTCCCAGAGTCTTAGAGTCTTAACCTCCTACACTGTTTCTAGGATATCTTGACGCTAAGATAGTTCGGAGAATACGTAGGCTGGTTTACATCATACCTCTTGATCTTCACATTAATTAATAACCCGCTTTGGAGCTGCCATACTACGTATTATTCTTACATATAATTAATAGTCTCTTCCTCGACTTAATAAGTCGAATTTTGATTTTGAAATATTTCAACTTGGCTTTCATATCACATGGTAAGCTTTAATCGTGATTTGAAAGCTAAGTTGAAATATTATCGCCATGTTAAAATAGTTTCGTATGAGTAACCTGTATTTTGTTACGATTATACAATGTACATCTTCCTGGTTTCACGTTTCGTCCATCGTTCGTTAATCTTTTATATAAATATCAGATAAGCAAGAATGATTTTAAGTAACTTAACTGCACTTGATGTCTGAAAAGCTTAGGATGAACCCCTAATGCAATTCTGAAACCGTACATAATACCGTCATCCTGCCCGTCTGCCCTTACGTATGATGACATCTTAATCAAGTTCGAAATTTACATTATTTCGTTCAATATTGTTTTCATTTTCAGTAACGTATTAACTCGTCATAATGATATAAGATTTATAAATGCTTTTCCGAAGATCTGATTGAGAAAATTTGTATTTTAGTTGATAATACTGCAAATAAGTTTTTTTTTAACTTGCCTGACAAGTTATCTTTGATTGTTAGTCAGATATTAGGTATTGGTCCAATAATTAATTTATTTTTATCCTAAGAGCTTCTTTTATGTTTATCTGTGTAACGTTTCGTGAATTTTACGCCCACCCTGTAACCCACCCTTAGAATTAGGCAAAAGAATAAAGAGAGTAATTGAAGCTGAACCATGTGTTTAAAATTATCTTTCCTAAATTTTGTGTGGCGCACCTCTTCTTGCATAACGTTGCTTAGTCATTGTTGTTTTGATTATTTGGGCCACGAAATCAATACCCAATAATAAAATTGAATGAAACAAAGCTCACCAGAGACATCTATAAAACTAAGTCGAATGAACGAGATTTCTCAAGTCGGTTCGAACCGACTTATTAATGATGCATGTTTAACGAACAATTAGGATAACTCTCTTTATGCTACGGGTTGTGTTGTTGGTTGCACATTGTAAAGGAGTTGGCTATTGTCGCTTTCCCAGCAAAAAATATTGACACTTATTTAAATGTTCATAAATCATTTGGAATAGGGCCTATTGGATTTGATTGGTTCTATTCTAGCTTTCATTTTAATGCTGTATTTTAATTCTAGTTTCCACTTTAGCAATGTAGTTCAATTTATTCCAGCTCTCATTAAAATGCTGTTCTTTTTTAAATCTACCTCTCATGCTGTAGTTAATAATAATAATGTAGCTCAGTTCTAGCTCTCATTATGATAATGCGCAGTTCAATTCTAGCTCCTACTTTAATATTGTAGTTCAGTTCTAATTCTCATTATAATGCTGTGGTTCAGTTCTAGCTCTCATTATGATAATGTAGTTCAGTTCTAGCTCTCATTATAATAATGCAGTTCAATTCTAGCTCTCACTATAATAATGCAGTTCAGTTCTAGCTCTCATTACAATGCTGTGGTTCAGTTCTAGCTCTCATTATAATAATGTAGTTCAGTTCTAGCTCTCATTATAATTATGATACAAATATGATTATGTAACTGGATTTAATAGCTACCATTGTGATGCTGAACATAAATGAGATCAAAATACTGGCAGCTGCCATTGTAAAATTGTGATATCGATAGTTAAAATTGTGATCTGTCGACGGTTTCATTCAATACATATTTGACTATATTGATTTAAGTTGATCAAACCATCTGGGCATTTGAACTTCTGTGGTATACATTGAGCAAATATGTACTGCATAGCACGTTATCAAGTTGTGATATGTCGCTTCACGCCATTGTGATTTTCGTATAAGTCTCGTCGCTCAGTATCTATAATACATATTTTTAGACATACATGTAGGGAGGTCGGCCCCTTATCACACACAAACCTTTAACTGTTGCAAGGACTATGTGGTATTGTGGTAGCGATCTTTGAGTAAGTTTTTAAAGATTACTTTAGATTTTTTCATAATATACTAAACCATCCTCTTGGCCGAGAAGGGGGCTATACATTATATAACTGTAGATAGCCGAGGAAAGAATAAAAGCTTAACCACGAAATGTAACGCCTGCCCTCTTGAGGGGCTCGACGGTTAGGAAATATCAATGGCAAATACATTGTTTTAAATGATATCATGAAACACTATGAAATTAAAATGTGGACGAAAAACTTTTTTTGAAAAAGAAATCCACGGGGGAAGAGTTGTGTATGAACGCAGGACATTTTGAAACCAAAGATTGTTGGTCATATTATGATTGCAGACAGATACCCTATGAACTGATAATTTCAGAGTTTTGTAAATGGATACGGCCAGGTTTTGAACTACAAAAATGTATTTGCTACGATTGTTTTGTAAACATTGATAAAGATAATCACACATCTTTGTCAGCTTCAATGAATTATTTCTATCATAGATACTATTATGATTATGAATTACTTCCTGGGCCATATACTCTAGATTCCGTCAATTCAAATATTGAATACAATCATTTCGAGTGCTTGTTTGCTTATTAATGTAGAATTTTATTTGGGAAAATATGGCAAGAGAATGACGAATTTTCAATTAGCAAATGCTGATATTCTAACATTTAACTTCCTTAAATCTTATATCGGATCATTGTTCGTAAACGGACACACGGTTTCGACTTCAAAAAACTTTTAGGAATGGATTCACGAGGTTCGCTTAATCATCGGCTTTAGTTGATCGCCGAGCATTTGGAGTGGTGATATGAAGTTTGCAGGTCTGTGTAAAGAGATTTTCATGAAAGTTATCGCTTAAAGAGGCATTCTGTCTTTTAAGTAGGTCGAAAATTTTTTGGACTCAAATTTGTTATGCCTTTTGGATGCTGTTACAAAACTATTGTACGGAGTTACGCTAAATAAACGCCTAATTGTAGAGAAATATGGTTCATACTTATTCTAAAGGTTTCAACTAAATTATGTCAAAATGCTTAATTAACAATCAGAACTCTGCGTTTTTGATTAACCCTTTTAAATCACATTTAGTTCATCGAGTAGATACATATATATAAATAGCATACTTTAGAAATATTTTCTGGTATAAGTTTACGACGTTTTTGATAATGTTTGCATACTGCTCCTTTAAGGATGGCCCTATTTTTGAATTCTTTTGTTTTGGTCAGAATAATTACGATATAATATCATGTAACATCCTTGTTCTTTAAAGTTTTACCGTAGTTTACACTTGATAGGTTTTTGATAATAAGTAATTTCAATACGATCCCTTTTAGGAGTCATAATAGAAAACCTTCAGAAATTCAGCGACGTCAACCGGATTTTTCTATTTTTGAAACAATACTTCACAAAAAAATCCCCTGTGATACAACGTGACGTCAAAGCCCTTAATATTTTGCTGTTTTATTTACAAAGAGAATTTTTAACTTTCGGACCACATGTAAGATGTTTTATTACGTCAACAGAAGCACAGCTGAAATTGATATTAATGATAATGATGGCAATAATGATTTTATAACATATGTAATCATCATCATAATTGTTATTATGATCATCATCCTTCAATATTATTTTTTTTACTATTTCAGAAAATGACGTGACCTTATCTAAACTTATGGTAATTCAAGTGATGTATTTCTCGCAACTGGCACTATCTGATTATATTGGTAATAATAATAATTAAAGAAAAATGGCAGTGGAACGTGGGGATTTTTCTCGTTTGTCTTATCTGAATGAGGAGATACTGCTGTCAAGTTTAAAATCTCGATACAAAAAAGACAAGATATATGTAAGTATATTTTTTCTCTTTAAATGACTTTTAGCAATTGTGAAAACGATATATAGACAAAGCTTTATGGAACGACGATCAATGGTTTAAGTTCTATGCATCGTTTCGACGTGTTTCCTCCGCCGTTATGAGGCACAGAATCATAAAAAAGTGATAGTTGATTTAAATATACGTTTGGTACCTATAACTTTTATTTATCATTCTGTGCCTCAGAACGCAGAAACGTTGCATTTTAACCAGTGATTGTTGTTCCTTTACAAATTGGCCAATTATTATAATGTGTATAATGAACTGGTGTACAAATATAAATTCTGAATTGAATTACAAGCATACATTCATTAAACGTATCTGAACTGAATTACAAGCATAAATTCATTAAACTTATCTGAACTGAGACACAAGTAAGTAAATTTATTTCATTTATCTGAACTGAATTGCAAGCATAAATTCATTAAACTTATCTGAACTGAGACACAAGTAAGAAAAATTATTTTATTTATCTGAACGGAATTGCAAGCATAAATTCATTTAACTTATCTGAACTGAGACACAAGTAATTAAATTTATTTTATTTATCTGAACTGAATTGCAAGCATAAATTCATTAAACTTATCTGAACTGAGACACAAGTAAGTAAATTTATTTCATTTATCTGAACTGAATTGCAAGCATAAATTCATTAAACTTATCTGAACTGAGACACAATTAAGTAAATTTATTTTATTTATCTGAACTGAATTGCAAGCATAAATTCATTTAACTTATCTGAACTGAGACACAAGTAATTAAATTTATTTTATTTATCTGAACTGAATTACAAGCATAAATTCATTAAACTTATCTGAACTGAGACACAAGTAATTAAATTTATTTTATTTATCTGAACTGAATTACAAGCATAAATTCATTAAACTTATCTGAACTGAGACACAAGTAATTAAATTTATTTTATTTATCTGAACCGAATTACAAGCATAAATTCATTAAACTTATCTGAACTGAGACACAAGTAATTAAATTTATTTTATTTATCTGAACTGAATTGCAAGCATAAATTCATTAAACTTATCTGAACTGAGACACACAGCATTAAATTTATTTGATATATCTGAACTGAATTACGAATATGAAATTCATTACATTTATCTGAATTGATATACAAATATGAAATTCATTACATTTATCTGAATTGATATACAAATATGAAATTCATTACATTTATCTGAATTGATATACAAATATGAAATTCATTACGTTTATCTAATCTGAGAGGTCTATATAGAGATTTTATACTTATATTATTTATCTGATCTGATAGAGGCTACAATTATGGAATTCGTTACATTTATCTGCACTGTAGAATAAATAGTTGTATTTTTGAATTATGAAATGAAAGTTGCTGTATGTATCTGCGAGATAGAATTCAGTATTTTGAAAGAGGGATCTTCAACGTGCAAATCCTATATATAGCAAATGTCAAATTACGTAAATGCAATTAAAAAAAGCAAAGAATACATTTGGCAATAAAGAATGCAGAGATAAATGGGATAATTATAGATTGATAATTGTATTTCGCTTGGATGATCGTTTGAGACATTAAAAATAGCTCAGTTATAGTAGGATGAGTTTAAATTAAATCCTTTATAATCTCATCCTAGTATTACGTTCATGAAGTATATGATAACAACCTTAATATAGTGCAATATGACCTCTTATATTGATATACGCCCACGGTATATTGCGGGACGTTTTTGCGTTTAGGTTTGTAGAACTGTCAAAATTGACGATTTCGATACATGTGGGTGGTGATAGGTCTCTGACCCTAACGCCTGTGCCTGCGCTTTCATTACTTTACTTAACCCCAATGTTACAACTTAACCTGTTCAATGTTGATGATCATTAAACCCCGCTCTGAACGTTATAAGACTAAAAAAAAATATTTTATCGCTTCTACAGTGTATTTTATATCATAGGCGTCACTACCTGTACCATGCTTATTCAAATGTTATAAAATGGTATATTTAAAATCTATCCACTCCTACAAAGTTGATCATAACCGGTACATATGATGCAGTACAACAACAATACAACTGTGCACTAGCTTGAAAACTTGAAATTATAGACGCCTCTTTGATCGGTCACATTCGACGATTGAAAAATGAATGCGTTATGCTTTCGTAAATATTTATATTATAGTTAAAATAAACTTTGAACACTGAACAACATTGATTCAGCAGTTGAACAAGGTATTGGGTAATATGTGTAGCATCAGATCCAATGAAGGGAGTGAGCGGGCTCAATATGAAAATCTGAACGCTAGTTTCTAGGTATTTTCGTAAAGCGTGCCATTTATTATAGAACATAAACTTGATTGAAATTATGATTGTGCCGATTTTGAACTATTGAAATAAAACGGGTATGTTTGCAAATGGAAGAAAGTACGAGCCAAGTTTGCACAGCTATTGCACTTTAACGTAATGAAAATCTTCTCAGTGCCCCATTTCATGCGTTTAGATCAATATTATATGAAAGGAATACAGTCGGCAAAAGTTTTTCTTTGTCAGTCTAATTACAGCTATTGATAGCTTTTTCTAGAGTTCAAATCGCATCGCCCATTTAAAAACTACAAAATAACGTTAAAATAGGTAATAACTGCACACGATGGGATCAATAGCGCACATTTGAATTAACTCAATATTTTTTTTTAAATTTGAAGATAAACAGACGTTAGATTTGTTGGATTAAAAAGTGTCATAGAGAACCGAAATTGGACTCAGTTGATAAAACAAATATTTAGATGACAAGTTCCCGTGACGATAACCGTTATGATAGATTTCATTTTTTCAAAATAGTATTGAATTATACTATTAAATCTATTTATCTATTGATCAATAGGCGACACACCCTAATATATAAAGTCTACGCGCATTCTTTAACTTCCTTGTGATATGTTTTGTGTTGATAGCTGTACTTAAATAAATATAGATTTTCATATTTCATAGAATGTTATTGAAACTATACAGACCATAACATTTTGAAAAGACTGTTAAAACTAAATTATAATAAATTAAATTTAACTGCACATGCTGAGTCATGTTACCTATAGTATACATGAGGTAATAGCTGAATGGAATAAAAAATTCAAGATACAGATAAGCAGCATTTCCAGTGGCGGAGCCAAAGGGGGGGCGGAGGGGTTTTCGGGCAAAAATCTCATAACTAGGTTAGAAATACGGGCAACCCCAGGTATCCTCCCCCCCCCCCCCCCCCCCGGAA